TATATATATATATATATATATCACATTCATCATGTGGAATTTGTATCTGTACTTCATATATCTTTTTGTTTGTTTGTTTTGAGACAAGGTCTCACTATATAGTTCAGGTTGGCCTTGAACTCACTGTGTAGCCCAGGATAGCCTCAAATTTGCACCAATCCTCCTGCCTCAGCCTCCTGAGTGCTGGAATTACAGGTGTGCACCACCACATCTGGCATGTTTCCAATATTTAGCTATTACAAATTGTGCTGCTATCAACATGGGCGTGCATATATCACTGTTGTATGATGCTTTTAACTCTTTCGGGAAAATAAAAAGGGGAATAGCTGGGTCAAATGAGACCTGTAGTTTCAGTTTTTTAGGAATCTCCATGCTGATTTCCAAATTGGTTGCACCAATTTGCACTCTTCCCAACAGTAGAGAAGGGTTTCTTCTTACCCACAGACTCGCCAGCATTTGTTATCGGTTGATTTCTTGATGATACCCATTCTTTCTGGAATGAGATGAAATCTCAGTGTTTTTGTTTTGTTTTGTTGTTTTTTTGTTGGTTTTGGTACCGGGGATTGAACTCTGGACATTGTGCTTTCGAGGCAGGTGGCAGCACCACTGAGCTAAATCCCCCGCCCATGCATTCTTTTTGGGGGGGGGGGGTACCGGGGATCGAACTTGGGTCCTTGCGCTTGCAGGGCAGGCAGCAAAACCACTGAGCTAAATCCCTGGCCCATCCATGCATTCTTAATATTTATTGAGTGTTTATAAAAAAGCATCAACATTTTCAACATTGACTGTTTTCCGGTGTACAAAGTCTAAAAAAGGACAACAAATAAATTCCTATGTGAACTACAATGAAAATACCAATACAACTCTACAATAAAAATAATCTTTGCTTCAATGCCACACCCAAGGCAGTCTTCACACATGACAATTGCATGTTCCACCTCTCTTCCTTTTTTGTCAGGAGCTTCCTACTATGTTGTACAATGTGCACTTAGCAGGGAAATCAGATATCTATAAAATAAAATATCAAATGTGTAACGAATGGACATCAGTATTTTCACATCAGCTGTTTACTTGCTTACAAAATTTATAACATCAGAAATAAAAACCTATGTGAACTACATTGAAAATATCAATAAAACTCTACAACAAAATCTTTCTTTCAATTGTCACACCCAAGACAGTCTTCACAAATGAAAACTGCATGTTCCATACGCAAGTATTGCTTACACTGATAGCACGTATGTTTTGTCTTCCTGTCTTTTCTCATAGGCATAGTTGGCATCTTTTTAGTTTTCCTGTTGTGATAGTAGGTCTTTGGGATTATGTGCCTACCTGTTCCTCTGTCAGCTCACCAGTGTGCTCCACAATTTTTTTACATAGTTCCCTGTGTAGAAACATTTTGTTTTCTTCTGCTGTAAATGATCTCGTATGAGTTCCAGTCTCAATCCTCTAAGAAAATTTCTCTGTAGAATTTTGCACTTGTTATCTTCTTTGTAAATTATCTAATTATTTGTGCGACACATGTTTAGGATTGAGTAAAATACAACCATTGGCCAGTGCTTTGTGTTTCAAGTGACATCGTCTTGCTGCATAATTCATCAACAACACCTACTTTGCCTTTGGTTTTGTTGTAGAAAGTTTCCATCTCAGGCTTCAGTTTTATCCAGGTTTCCCTATCAATATTTCCACCAAGGTGCAATGTTGACACCAGCAGTACGAGTTTGTTTTTCTTTGCCATATACAAGACCAAAGTGAATCTTTTTGAAATCCAAAGATTGTACCATACAATTCTCTCTTTTGAAATTGCAACATTTCATTTGGAATTTCTGCTTTGTTCCTACATACAGTACCTACACTGGTCAACTTGTGCTCTGTTAGCAAATGTAACATCAATTGGAAACTGGTAAACCGATCGTCAAATCTCACATTCTGATTAGTTTGGGAGCAACAAGTCTGTTCATGCATCATTTGGTTTATTACAATAGAAATAAGGACCCGATGGCTGTTCCAGGTTAAATTTCTAAATTGAAAGCATAATAAATATTTGTATCTACAAAGGCATAAATTCTTAGGCCATATCTTGACCCATCGCTTTTCCAAAGTCTTTTACATTCCTGTGATTACCATGAGAAATCTCTGCTAAGTACAGCAGACCTATGAGTGCTTTCAGTTCAGCTAGGGAGGTGTCATAATAAAAACATTTTTGAATATGGCTGTTGGAGCATACAGAACATTTTACTTGTATTTTAGCCTTTGTGTATTTCACAACATCGTGTAGCATTTCATCTGTTATAATTTCCAACATTGAATGGCAGTGCTGGCATTCTGTCCAATAGGTTTCACCCCTGCCAAGATCCTCACTATATTTTTGGACCTATTTCTAACATTGGATTGTTCCATCTGTTTGTA